GGATCTTTTGATTAAATTATATTTTTAATCCTTTTTAGAACCTTCAAAATTTTGATTAAATTTTTTTTTTCTTGCATGAGTGGGTGACTATAAAGTACAGGGTGTCCTCAAAAAAATGACATCATTTTATAGTCTAATAACATAGCCAATTCTAGATCTCAAATTTTAACAAAGTGTGTAAAAACTAAATTGGCACTGTGGACTAATCTCAATAGGAATCTACCAGAAAGATTTATTGGGTGTGCCAGTGACTGTGCTGTTCCTGTTCACCTGACTTGACACCTTGTGATTTTTTTTCCTATGGGACTATTTGAAATGACAGGTCTATATCCACCCACGCTTTCTGCAAACCTAGAGGAACTTAAACAGAGAATCACTGAGGTACTGAAGAATGTTAGACATGCATGTTTGGCAGGAGCTGGACTACCGACTTGACATGTGTCCTCTCACAGGTGGTGCGCATATGGAACATTTGCAAAGCTTTGTGAAATCAGTAATAAAATCTACTTCCCTTTGAATATCTTTTTCAAATTTTGATAAATAAATCTTTTATGGTTCAACATGAAGCTTATTTACTTTGTTTGCCTGGGACATGTAGTTACTCAGACATTCACTATTTAATTGATGTCAATTTTTTTTTTTTTGAGTATAGGAAATTTTACTATCTTTTTTTGGAAAAATCAAATAACAGTTGTATTTTAATGAAATTTCAAAACATATTCACAAATGAATTAAATTAATTTAGAAATGTTTCTTTTTTAGAAAATCTTTTTTCTTCTTCTTTACAACTGCTAGATCCCACCCACTTATTTTATGGAATTTTGAGAAATTCATTTTTGTAGTATTTAATGTTTATATTAGTTATAAGCAAAAGTCTTTGGAGAATTTAAATTATCAATTTTATTTTTGTAAAGCAGTACTCCCAGTTATTGAAAATCTGCTCTGAATCTTGAAATAAAAAATGTAATAAAACTAAGACATTATTTAATTAGAAAAGCTTTTAATTGCTTTTGGAATAAGACATATTATGGACACTATTGTCTTAAGAAAAAAATGTTTTTAATGAATTTTTCAAGAATTGTTTACATTTTCCAAAAAAATTTAATTTGAATAATTTATAAAGTTTTAAATTTTTTTAAATTATGTATTAATTTGTACCAGCTAGGTGATATTATTATTAATTAAAAACTGTATTTACTAATCATAACTTGTAAAGCTTATTACAATTCAGTGATCCCTCCCCCAGTATTTTAAAAAGAATTTTGAATTTTTTGTGTGTGTATATAAACATGCTGATTTTTGTAAATATGGACATCTGTACACAACATTATCAGAAAATAAGTCGGTAACTATAGTAAATTTAAAAACAAAGTACCTAAAATTCAATAAAACATTAGATTTTTAAGATTACCAGGTTGTTAAAAAAATTATATTTAAGAAAAAATGTGCTCATATTTAAGTAATTCTTACAGATATGTCCCTTGTAGAAAAAGTTTCAAAACTTAAGTTTATTGAGATAATTGTCAATACCTCATAAAATCATCCATCTTTGTGTTAAAAAAAATACTTTTCTGCAATATTTTAAATTAAAAGTAATATTTGTTCCAAATCAGTTTAAATCAGCTAATATTCCTAAAATACAGTATAAGTATAAGAAAAGAGGTGTGTGTGTTTTATATATATATATATATATATATATATATATATATATACACACACACACTCAGACACATACACTAAAAATTTCTCTGCTTGATCCACTTCCCAAAATCCTGGCACAAGCATTTTTGTTAAGGTTTTCTTGATTAGGCTGTTAACTTATCAACTTCTTATTAATATATAAAATAACGAATTCCAATATTCAGATATGAATATGGAAAATATTATTTGCAGTTTGGAACATGGTCCTTTGCAACAGAAAAGTCACTTAAAGTTTGTGGTTTTAGTTTTCCAGACAATGATATGAAGTAAATCTATTTGTCGAAATTATAATAATTGCTTCCATTTTGCTTTGGATTTTTTTCATGAATTTTTTGCTTTATCAGTATATTTGTTTAAAAATACTTACTTTATAAGATGTTATCTAAAAAATTATATTTAATAAATATCCATCTTTGAAGAGAATACCAAACGTTCATTCTTATAAAATAAAATAGTATCTGTTTTTAGAAATGTTAGATCAGTATGTTAATGTAGTTAGTTAGTAATAAACCTATTATTTTCTTTGAAATACTCGAATCTTCTTTATACATTTCATACAAAAATATAATTGTACTTATATTAGTTTAAAGGGAAGAAGGAAAATTAAAATATTGACTTTTTACTCAGTTATTTTATGAACTTTTTTTGTTCGTTTTATGATAGAAAGTTATTAGAATTCCACTGTTCCTTGTAAATATTAAGTTGATTATTTTTGCACATTGTATTTATGTGGGGGAAATTATTCAAAAAATTAATTAACATTTCCTTTAATGATATAGATTAGTTTTGTTTTTTAATTTATGTATCAAGCAGGTGCAGAAATTTAACTGAGTAGTGTAGTAAAAGACAATGGAAAGTATGCTGGTGATCCAAAGATACATAGGAATAGCAAAAGATGCTTTCAGAAACTAAGCAATCTATAAATAAGCAAAGAAAAGTGTGCTGGACTCATGTAATATCTAATCTCTTAACTATAGGAGTAAATGCTTCAAAGATGAAGTGATTTGAAGTAACAGAGATGTGATTATACCAATGAATATTGAAATACCATGCCAAGTGGAATTTTTAGAGAAAATAGGAACTACAAGAAAATTGCTGTTAATAATCAAAATGAGACAGCTGAAATTTTGGGAACACATAATAAGAAAAAAGGCATGGAAAATTTAACACTCACAAGGTATATTGAAGACAACAGAAACAGGATAAAACACCTAGTAACCTACCTGATGAGTTTGAGTGAATAGATGTCAGGACAAGTACCACAAAAACAAAGAGGGGTCATAAAAGGAGAAATAATTAAGCATTGAGAGACAGTATGTTGTGGATAACCTCAACTTTCTACAGCCTTTAAGGGTATATATGCTTTATATATTAATTCAAGTCATGTTAATTCTTTTGTTAAAAGAAGTAATTTTATATTTAGCATCTACATATTTAAAAAGAACTAATCTCAGATTTAAAATCAAATGTTATAAAACCTGGAAATATTTTTTTTTAATGATACAGATCAAAGACCAAATCAAACTAACATTTGATGAATTGGCCTCCTCTTGAAAAAGCATCAGCAAATATGCACCTTCATACTCTATGCTAAACATGGGTTACTCTTAAAATTGTTTTAAATTTGATATAGAAACTGAAAAAAATAAGCACTTTTAAGGAAATGTAATTCTGTTCACAATTATACAACAGAAATTAACATTTTTAATATACAGGATGTTAATAAAGTCTCTTTACAATTTAAAAAAATTTATTACAAAAGATGATGAACAGAGAAATATGTGTAAATTGTTACAAAATGAGGAGTAGATATTGAAATTTTTTTAATTACTTTAATACACTTCCGAATGAGCACATTAGTTGCACAAAGTACATCAAAATGGAGCTCGGTTTCTTGCCATGTTTGCTAACCTCATCAATGGTGGCAATGGCATCAATGATCAGTGATGTGCCATATCTTTGTTTGATACACAATATCTTTTACATAACACCATAGAAAGGGAAGTGATATCTGGTGAATGAGGCGGCCAGGGACTTGGGCCATCCCTTCCAATCTACCAGCCTTGAAATGTTAAAGGGTTTATTTAACAGTACTTCTTTCATCAACAGGATACTTGAAATACACAAATGCAATATGATTAAAAACTTTAATAACTACTGAGTACATAGAACAAATCTGATTAAAATATCTTATCAGTTGCCTTTGTAATATATTTTTTAAAATGTAAAGAGGCTTTATGTATACTCTGTATAATTGGAAATTTTATCATCAGTTGAAGGGAAAAAAGATGTCACCTTCCAAAATGTGCATAATTGATAATGGTGATTGAAAACAAAAATTAAATAAAGGTATTCATTTCTGATTCAAGTTTTTCGATGCTTTAATTAGTTTTAAATCTATTGAAATGAATACTTTTAACTACAGAATACCTGATTTAGTAGAGTTCAAGATTTGTATACATAGTATGTATGTAGTAAATGTAAAAAATAACATTTATCTGCATACATGTATTTGTTGTTTACTTAAAATAGGAATTTTTACCAAAATGATATCAATCTTTGGCCAGTAGTCATCATGTCAGTGCAAAATTTCATAGGCATTTTGCTATTGAGCAAGTAATAATGAAAAAAAAAATAATAAAATTAAATTTGATTGGATATATTTATGAGTGATACAAACATAGTGTATAGCGGAAATTATTAATGCATTTATCATTTTGCATGGCTTCTTGATTTATCTCCCCTTCTGGAATGTTTGTCATTTTTGCTCTCAGGCAATTATTTTTCAGTACTTTCTTTCTGCTTAACATAATTGTACTAATGTTATCAGCTTTGTTGCTACTCCATATTATGACTATATATATATATAATATATATATATATATATATATATATATATATATATATATATTTCTCTAATTCATTCTCTCTCTGCACCTTTAACTTTTCTTGCAGTGTAGTTTGTAGTTTTCCCATGCTATATTGTTATTGCAGCAGCAAGAATTGTACAGTTCATTAACATAACTGTACATGGGCAGTATTCATCTACTAATGATCACTTTTAAAGATTTGCTCTTATTGATTTGGTTCTGGCTCAATTCTCTTTTTGATTCCTCTTTCGTTTGCTTCATTTTAATGAAAGAACATTTTTCAAGGAATAGAAAAAGTAAAAAAAAAAAAAAAAAGAACCCAAAACAAACAAAAATATAATGCACACACAAAAAGGAAATAAATAAAGAAACAATGCATGGTGCTGCCATGCACTACAACACTGACTTCATCTTTGTGAATGTTTGCAGGTGGGACTACAGACGATACGACTGATGCCTTAGTGGGATTCCGAAAGCGTGAGTTGTCTGAATGTGTTATGATGCCTTTTGGATGTGTTCTTGAGTCGTTTCTTTTTTTTCTCTTTCATTCCCTCTCACAACCTACCATTCTACCCTTCCTTTTTCTTTAAGCTACATTGCCACTGACTTCTCTTGCAACTACCAGAAACATGTCTTATTATTTATATTTTATACTTCATTATAAATAAAACAGACAATGATTCATTTTACTTTACTGGCTTTATAGATTACAAACAAAATAAAAACAAGATTATTAAACAACAGTGGTTCTTAACCGTTTTTTTAAATCAAAGATCCCTGAGTGAAAATAATGGAAACTATGGACCCTCCCTCACTAACATCCCAAAAAACTGTATAGTAATGCAGATATTCAAAGCATATTTAGGAATTTTATTCAATATATACATGTTATCTTGTATATGATGAAAAAACATAGTAGCTATTTATATAAATAACTGAAAATTTACAAACTTAATTTTACAAACATAAGCTTTTTTGGAAGCCAAGAAAGCTATGACATCATATTTAGTAAAGTCCTTTTTGGAGCCCGATTCTGAATTTAATTTTAAAAGAATTTTGTTAGTTTCCAAATAATTTATTTTAAAACTTTACTTTTCATAGTTACTAAGAAATTCAATTCTTCGGGAATCTATAAATCCCAGGTTAAGAACCTCTGCTAAAAGATATTTGGAGATTTTAAATAAAATCTTTTGGAAAAGTTTCTTGCTTATTCCATTCATGTTTGCTATTCCCACTTCCTCAGACTTTTTTCTTGGGCATGTTAGAGTATGACTTGATATTCAAGTACATATTTAAAATAATTGTGTTATTTGACTAATCCTACCCTAACAAAAATGGAACCATACAAAAAAGTCTTATTTCAACCCCTGACTGTGTTTTTTTCCCTTTCCTTTTTCTTCTTTATTTTATTATATATATTTTTTTTAGATTTCAGTTAAGCTTTTTTGCTTGTGTCTGCCAGCTTTATATTGTTTGTTATCAATTTCTATTGCATTAAAACCACAGTCAGAGGAAGGAAAAACCTAAAGCTTATGGCAACATACACGCATACACAATTGCTGTTATAAGCCTTCAGATTGACACTTTGGCTGAGAGCAAACCAAAACTTTCATGCACTACACCCTTGCATCTAATGTATTGCATTGATTTTATTCAAGATTATATTTCAACTAACCTGATTGATGGAATGTAAAAATGCTTAACTTATTGTATTATCCCTAGCATTTTAGTCATGTTCTATAGAACATGACTAAAATGCTAGGGATAGCATTTTTATATAGCCTTATCTGAAATAATTCTTAAAGTAAGTTCAAGGACACTTGAGTTGATGTTTTTATTAGATTTTTTTATGTCTAGTAAACTTATAAGAATGGATGGGTAGAGAGGCAACTTTAATAATCTCTAACTATTCACTGTATGTTTTACACTGAATATGGCCTTGAATCAGAGTTAGTGCAGTCCGAAAAATATCTATAACTAAAGGTCATATAACTAGTAGATGACTAATGTAAACACCTCTCTAAATGAGATTGACTTTTAAAAAAATTATAATTTAAGCAAGCAATGATGAGCCAAAATGTTATGATCACCTGCCTAATAAGATGTACTTACAAAACTGCTCTTCCTAATCAGGCATGAACTCTACAAGACCCCTTTTTATTTCCTCTTGGATCTGGTGCTAGGATGTTAACAGGTTCATTGCTGCAAATTACACAAACATACTGGTCCAACATACCTCATAAATACTCGTTGAAATTGGGGACCAGGGCAATACAGTGAAGTCTTCATGTACCTGAAATGATTCCTGTACAGTTTAGGCAGTGTGATGGGGCTCATTATCCTACTGAAAGAAACCACTGCCTTTGTAGAAGACTGTTGCCAGAGTGTACCTGGTCTTCAATGATATTGTGCTATATGACTTTCTACATGAACCAAGGAGATCTATTTTTTTTTCTTTTTTTTTTTTCATTAGAACTTTTTTACTAAATGTTCACTCAATACAAGACTTAAGAGCCACTTAAGGTAGAGAATTATTGAATGAGGCATGTGATATGAATGTAAGATAGTAGGAAGTTAAGATTATGAGGATATGGAGGATAGATAACTTGAAAAGGTTAAGAAGCATCCATGCAGGAGTTTTTTTTTTTTCATAAAGCAACAGTTTTTGGGGAAAAAATGAACAGAACTTAATCCTTGCAATTGTAATATGGAGAGAATAAAGGTGATATGATACATGACAGGTCTTAGCTATAAAGGTCTGAACTGGTAGAACCAAAGAATGGAAATAGTGATACAGTAGTAATGTTGTCCCTGAGAAAGAGACTGCAGGGTGAAAATATATCATCTCCCACATAAACAACTTTGAATTTTATCAAGGTTGGAATTTGATTGGGTAGCTCTAACCCAAATATGGCAGCAATACTCCAGTTTTGATCTAATCTGACCAAAAATATAAAGCATTGACCTATTCCTTTATTTCCTTAGTTTGCAATTTGTGTCACAGGAGGAGGCATATACTTGTCAGGAAAATCTGATGAGCAGTTGGTGATTTTCCCCTTCTCAGACCACTGCTGATAAAGGTAATCACCACAGCTGAATGTCAACACTCTACAAGTTGTACCAGTTCTCTAAAATGCTCTAGCATAATTTTATGTTCATAACAATTTGTCCTTTATCCTTTTAAATCTTTTTTTTTTTTTCTTGCCCATAACTGCAGCATTCAACACATGAAAATCTAGTTGGGGCTGGTTTACCAGTTTATATATCTCTGCCATTGATATGCACAGTTATTACAAGGTAGTAGCTGTCATTCTTGCCATGTTCCTTGTTATAATATTTTGGCTCAGCAGTATAAATATAAATGATAGAAAGGAAATGGATATAAATACATACATAGCTGAGTTGAGGCAGGACTGGGATTGATTTTGCACAAAGCAAGGTGCTTCCTACCTGACAGGATTTGTCATAAGGATTTTGCAACGCCGGATGCTCTTCCTGACACACACTGCACACTCTCACTATAGTCCATGTACACTGAGCGCTTTTATTGAGACACCATCTCTAGGAAGGTTATCATTCAAGGCTTGAGACTCCATCCTGACCTTCGTTTGTATGTATGTATCTGTGTATATATATATATATATATATATAATATAAATAAAGACAAAAAGGAAAACTTATCTTAGTTAATGTGTTTCATCCTCTAATGGACTTTATCAAGGCAAATGTAAGGATTTTATTTTGCAACAAATATTTATAAACAAAAGCAAAAATGTTATTTTGCAAAATTATCAAATTTAAGAACCAGATTGATCAGTGAAAAATAAACAAAAGTTAAATTTAACAGTTTGGGATTATTAAATAGGATCTTTTAAATTTTTTTAATTTTTAAATTGGTCTTCATTAATTTTTCAGAAATGGAGATTTTGAAAGGGCAATTTATTTCTATAAAGTTCTGTTTTGTTTTTGTAACTTTTTGAATTTTGTTGGATCCTTTGCTAAGATTGAGATATGGACAATACATAAAATTAATCTCAAACTAAAATTATATAAATACATTTAAAAGGAAAAACATATTCTTGAAATGTTCCAGAGATTTAGAAACTTTTTGTTTATAAATGATTTATACATTTGCTTGAGTTTATATTTTTGTTTTTCATTGCTTAATCTCCCATCCATGTAGCAGGTTGTCAAAGAATCAACAAATTTTATTTATATACTACTAAATTATGGGTAGATTTATATTTTTATATTGGAAAAATAGTATTTTGGTTATTTATAAATTTTGAAGTGTTTTACTATAAACATGTATTTTTGGTTTTTTGTAAAATTTTTTAAGGTAAACAAAAAAGTAGTTAAATGTTTACAAATATTTGACTTGTAATGAAAGTACCAACTGCCAGATTGATCAGTAAAACAGTTAAATTTAACTGGATATTAAATAGGATCTTAAATGTTTTTAATTCTTAAATTGGCTTCATTAACTTTGATTTAAAGAATTTATTTCTATAAGATTGGACAATCTGTATTTGCCATTGGTCAAAAATTTGTACTAATTGGGTCAAATATTAATTCTATTGAACATTTGAAAAGGATTTGTTAAATTTGTTAAAGCAATTTTTTTGTTTTAGAAAGTTAAGGAAAACATATCAACATGAAGAACAAAAATTAAGCATGATTAAAACAGATGTCATATTAGGCAATCATAGGTATTTCATTTTGTTCATCGTGATGATTGTAAGCTTATTCTAAAATTGTATTTTTTTCATACTCATAAGCTTTATTCAACCAATTTGCAAACATGTGCATTACTTGAAAAGGAGTCAGTTGTAGTTCTCTTAAATGAATCTGGTTTTATTGTATCTTTATTAGAAATTTAAAAAAATACCTGACTATTTTTTTATCTGTTCCTTAGACTATAATATATGAAGATCAAAGAAAGAATATTGATTTTCTTATTTTCTATCTAGCAATCTTTTAGCAAATATCAACAGTTGGCTCCAAGGGCTTTTACTTTTCTTAATGTTTTATTGGCAATGTTTTCTACACATATTTATGATATGTGCAATGTTTTAGTCAACACCCCCCAATTCCCATTAAAATGTATGCCTATAGAAATATCTGGATTGCAAATTTGAATTATTTATATATTCAAAATTTTTTTTTTTTTTTTTTTTTTTTTGGTGACAATAATTTTAAAAATTTTTAGGGCTAATTAAAATATGTTTATGCTTTTGTTTCTGTAAGTGGTGTGGGTTAGTGTTCCTTTATCTAAGAGTGTCAAATTGCTGTTAATTTGTATCTTTCTGTATTTTGTAAATGGTTATTTTAGTGTTTATTGTAAGTTTTGTTGGTGTGCAACTGAAATTTAATCCTTAATTATTTTTTTAACATTGTTGTACAGCGGTGATATCGTGTATTATTTTAGCCTTTTTATAATCCTCTTTATTTTTCATATGTACAACTTGTCTTTCTTTTGACATTGGTTCATTTAGATCTTATGTTTGTCCTTTTTAATCTATTGATGTCATGAGATTTTACTCTAACAAACCCTCCCAATTGTTTCATCTTGGTACAAAAATGATGTGGCATAATTGTTTTATATGATAATATATTATAAGGTATGATCAATTTCTTACATTTTACAGAGTAATAATGAATTAATCAGAGAATATGTGGTTTTCATAAGATCAAACGCAAGAACTATTAAGTTAATTATTTTTAACATTTTAGAGATGGCCATATCATACTTTTAATTTTGAGAAAAATCTGTTTGTAACATTCATTATATTGGTAGATTAAGATATTTCCCACAATCTACCAAATGAATTTTGTTTTAAATGTTCATTTAGAAATAAGGTTCTTATGAAAAGTGTCTAAAAAAAAAAATGAATAATTGCTTTTTTCTAACAAACCTTATTACTGCAATAACTTTTTACAACCTGCCTCATGACCGAAATAAATGTGTATTTCTCAGTGATTAGTATTCAAGCCTAGGTAAATTCAGTGTTTTAAATACTGATTCTTAAGACAGACAGGCCTCATTTGGGAAAATTTGTGTTTGTTTTTCTTTATGCCCAACTAAGCTAAATTTAATAAATAGTGATAACTGTTGTAAGTATATATATATTCCTTCTTTCAGTGATATTTTGGCAAAAGACTGTCATTGTTGAATGTTGATATATTCTTTGCATTCTGATAAACTTGGGCAATGTCAAGAAAAAATATTTCTATATACTTTGAAAATATGAACATGTATTTTTGTTCAGAAATCTGGCGATAAAAATAGAACAAATGTGAAGTTAATGTCAAGATGTTTATGGATGTTTTTTTTATCACATGTTACTTTAATTTCTGGTTTAGTCCTAGTTGAAGATTCAACTAATTAGAAATTATGGAAAAATATTTTAATGGTGAAAATAGCAGTTAGATTAAAAGCCATGCTTTTTTCTTGTTTTTACTTATTTCAAATATTGGATTATTTAAATGCATTACTTTCACCAGTAATCATTCCATCTTAATGATATTTTACTAATGAAATAGGTGAAAGAGTGGTTTTGTTTCAAAAGAAAAAATTCTAAGAGATGTCTGTATGATTACCTTAAAACTAAACACAGAAAATGTTTCAGTCGTCTGTCTCTATCTTATTTAAAGAAGCTAAAGAAAGCTTTTAATTTTGAGATTAAAAAAAAACTATCTAATAATAATGTCAAGATCCCTTTAGTTTGATAACATGACTTCATAATCAGTTTGAATCTTACCTGTTGTCACTAAAGTTGTATGAAGTTTAACAAAGTTCTTAGAATTAATTTAAATATGCAGTATTATTGTCAAATATGAAATAGTGAATTCTTCAATACAATTAGATGACAATATGAACAATTGATAGTTATTTGGATACTTGAATTATTATATGTTTGGTTTATTCTGGATCTTGTTATTTATTAAATTTAATTTGAACTTTTGAATTTTATATAAAAAGTATTTGGATGCACATTCAAGTAAAAAAAATTATAATTTATATTTTAAGCATAGAATTTAATGATTTAGCTGTTGCAAGATAAACATTTTGATAAAGTTGTCTCCTAATGATACTTTTTAAAATCATATCATGTATAATGTTTAAGTTCTTCAATATTTTTGATCCAACCAAGCACTTTTACCTCATACTTGGTTCTTATTCACTCTGTTTCTGTGTTTGGCATCAGCTTTTTCTCAGAAGAGAAACTTACTTTATAAAGGATGTTCAAAAAGTAAGATAAATACATTACTAATCCCACATATTTATTATTACACAGATAAAACATTTATGTGTGTTACCAGTATAACCATGCTACTTTTCTACTTAATTGCTATTGAGATTGATGTACTTGTTTTATTGGTATGCAAATACCATCCTCAAAGCTAATGGTATCAAGTGACTAGTGATCCCCTTGCATCTCTGCAACAACAGTGTCATGTGTGGAACAGCTTTCTGGAAACATCATTTAGAGAGACTCAAATTGATGATAGCTTGAAGAAGCCAAGGTTGATTCCATGAGCTAGGAGCATCCATTGTCAGTAGCTGGCAAGTCCCTCTTCCCAAATTTAGGAGTTTAGCAGTCAGTGTGAAAAAATTCATGGTAACCATAGTCTGGGATTCAAAAGGTGCCCTGCTAATGGATTCATACTACATAGTCATATAGTTAACACAGTCAGATACTGAAAAACACCAGAAAAACAAAGGTAAGTTCTTTACCAAAAGAGATTAGGGTGTTTGCATAAAAGTTCTGTATGACAACACCACACATGGCTAATCTGACAAAAGAGTAGCTCCAGTGATAATTTTTTTTAATATTATTTTTCAAGAGCCACTTAAGCTAGAGTGTTAGTTTGAATGACAATAAATATGATCACTGATAGCTCCCTTAAATTAAAACATTGACAACTGAACCCTTAATAATTAAACTATCCATATAACATTCAAGCCAATATAAGGTCCAAGAATCACTCAAGGTTGAGAGTTACTAAATGAGATTGTTGTAAGGACATACAAAGAGGGATTAAAAGGTGCTCATTATGATGATATGTAGGATAGATAATGGTTGATTCTAGACTTGAAAAAGTTAAGATTGTAGTGATCAGGAAAGTATCCTTTCAGGAGTTTGTTCCACAATGTACCAGTTGTGAGGAAAAGCTGAGAGTAGAATTTCCTCCTTACCAATAGGATGCAAAGGAAATGAGGATGTCAACTCATTGTATGTGGCCTGGTGAGCCTTAGCTTTAAAGGTTTGGACTGGTGGAACCAAGAAATGTAACCCACTTGAACATCTGGCAGTGTTTCATTTGTGGGAAAAGGGTTGTAGGTTGGAAAATAATTCATCACCTACAAAATCGCGTAAACATTTTTGAACTCTGTCAAGGCTGGAAAGTGAGGATTGGGAAGCCCAGATATGGAACCAATACTCCATTTTTGGTCTAATACGGTTGGAATGATCACATCTACTGTATGGCTCTGAATTGGCTCTTTCAGATTATCATCTTTTTGGAGGCCTTCAAACTATCATTTATCTAGGAACTGATTCCATATACTGTTGTGGCAGAGATGCAAGAGTGGATCCAATCAATTGATGCTATGTTCGTCAAGGGGGCTCATGTACTATTGAAGCAAGTGCATCAGTATTGATGTGTAGTAATGCTAGTAACATACAAGGTTTTATTTGTTAAATAATGAACATGTTGGTTTAGTAAATGTTTGTACTTTACTTTTTGGATGTCCTCCAAAAAATATAACACCATTTCTATATTTAGATCAACTTTGGCAGTCCTTCATTTAAATCAAACAGATCTGATAAATGAATTTCCGCCTATCACCTCAGTTTGATCCTATATATATATATATATATATATATATATATATATATATATATATATATACTGCACTAATATTTTCTAGAAATGTTTCTTTGCCATGTTCTTATTATCAAATCATAATTCCATCCACTTCATATCTTATCATTTATAAAGTATTGAATTATAAAACCTTTTCCTTCCATCCCCATCAAAATGACATCTCTCACCATGGTTTCCTTTCCACAAATTATTTTGTGTTATCAAATCTGTCAATAATATGATTATCTTGCTGTAATCCAGCTCAGAAAATCATTTTTTTTTTTTTTTTTTTTATGGCTTGGAGACTCTCAGGGCAGACTCTAAACAACCTGTGACCTGCTAAAATATTCAATCATTATCAGATATTTTTTATCTAAACTATAGAGTATTTATCCTCATGCTCGCTTAAATCATATATGGTACAAAAGTGGAGATAAGTAAGCAGCATCCTTGAAATGATTTACAATTTTGTACCATCTTGTTTCATTGTAAAATAGTTTGAAACTAGTAGTTTATGAACTCTTTTTGAACTTTAAACAGATTAATATGTTTATTATTGGATAATCATTATAAGTGATTTATAATTTTTAAAAATGCTCACTCACTCGAAGAGGATTTCATGTTGCCATTAATGAAAAAAAAAGAAATGAAAAAAAAAGAAGTTCCTTTTGACATTTTTGTATACCATGCTCTCCCACTTCTTCTTTTTTTTTTTTTTTTTTTTTTTTAGATTTGCTATTCTAGTACAGCATACAAGCATGCACAACCCAATCATCCTGTTTAAAAGATGTAGTAAATCAATTTTTGTTAGTTTTGCTGGACTACACTTTTATTCAACTTATATCAAACTTGCTTCTAATCTTATTTTTTATGCTTATGTAAAAGTTCTCTATTTTTTATTAATTGTATAATAGAAAATTTCTGTTATAGATGCAGTAAGTATTTGGTAGTATATAAATTAGATTATATTTATATCTTGTTCTCGTCAATGCTGCTAAATAACTTTGATCTTTTTTCTGTTTTTCAGTAAATATCGGCGTGATTTTATTACAAGCTTTATTGGAGTATTGGCCACGAACTCGTTTTGATGATGGACAAGGTAGTTTCTTGCTAATTTTGGTATTTTTCTATCACTTGATTATCTTTTGGTTTTGTAGATCAATTCTTTAATCTTAACACCATTTGTTTGTGGTTTATACATTAAAACATTCTCTGCAGCAGATAAACTTTCATGTATGTCATTGTTAATGTAATTCACTGATCCCTTTTATTGTCTTTTTTATTTATAAGTTGTGAACTTTGATTTTTTTTTTTTTTAAATCTTACATTTTAGTCCATTATTATTTTAGATAATCTACAATTTTAACAAATTTACGAATACAGTACTTTCTATTGAATTGTTTTGCAATGTGTTATAAGCTAGAAAATTGCCTTTCAGACTCACAATAATACTGAAAGCTTTGCTAGATAAAATGGGCAAAGAAAACTTTTCATTTCTAATCTATAAATTTTGAGAATACCAATGAGTAATTGTCACTTTATCCAGATTTTATCAAATGGCATAATTTTTTTTTGTTTTGTTTGTTTAATGCAATAATTCTTGTTTGCAAATTGTAATCTGTAAAATATTTAATTTCAGAAATGGAAATGAATGGAAGTGGTGAATGTGTTGAACGAAGAGGAAGTGGACCTTATTTTAGTGTACCAGGACACACGCCTGTAATATTTAGGTCAGATTCTTTATTTCTTCTTTTATTTTTAAACTAACACATATTTCTATTTTTGTATGTCAAGCAGTGTTCAGTTCATTCCCTGGACAATTTCATACAAATAATAAAGGTCATTTGGAAAGTACAGAGGAGCTACATTTTTGTGTTATTCAACAAATTGAAAATTCTGTTAAGTCTTTTTGCTTGGAGGTCTTGTTCCTCCAGTATGTCCTATTTGAGATAGATGCCTCCTCCTCTTTTAGTATTTTTGTTTGTTTCTTTATTTATGAGATGGTTGCTTTCTATTTTGACAACAGGGACATCTGTGTCTCTTTCCAGGAGACAGTTGTTGTTGTGATGATAATGAAGGTGATAGCAGTTGAAACAGAGAGAAGGAAAAGAGGATATAGGTTTAAATGGTAGTGATGGCTGCTTCATATCAGGAACTGATGAAACTGGTTCTGGATAAATTCTGAGGGGTGGATTTGGGGGAAGTATTTTTGTGGGGTGGAGTGTAAGTATTTTAAGGAAGTGAAAGAGGCTGTCACTTCTGGTGGCTGATTATTTATAGTGTCTCTCCTGTTTTTTCCCCTTAGGGCCCTTGAACCCCCCCCCACCTTAACTAAATAGTTACACATACTGTAGACCTCTCCACTATCAGTACTCATGAACATTATTGAATCCATTTTTTAACAGTTTAACTTAACAGGACCTGTTCATTTCAATATAGGTAATTAAATTTCTTCATATAGAAATAGCACCTAACAATTCTGGATGGAATTTACTTTGATTTGATAGTAAGATACAGGTATTATTTTGATGAAGATTTTACATGCATACTTTATTTTCTCATTTTTTACATGATAAATCTGGGACATTTTTCCAAGTTAGAAATTTAATGTTTTGAACTGGTAAAAATGAGGATTTTTACTATTAGGTTTCTCTGGATAATAATAACATGTTGAGATTTTTAATGCCATGAAATGTTTGTACAATTCTGGACAGAAATTTCTTTAAAACAAACTGTAGAATAGGTACATTCCTCTAATTTATAATTTAATGGTAATTATATCCGATTCCTAACCAATGCTGAAGTGGTTAAGCACCTTACTTCACATCACCTCCTTTCGGACAAACAATATGGTTTCCGTTTCATCAGGTCTATTGCTGATGTGCTCACAGCCCATCACTGAATTTATCTGTTAAGCTCTAGATAAGAATGGCAAAGTTTGAACCTGTGACTCTAGGGTTTGGCATGCTAGCCTTCTATCCAACTTCCAGGGCTATGGTGTCACAGGATGAATATTTGAATTTAATTGAATCCTTCTTAACAAATCATGATATAAGGTCATGTTAAAAGGGTTCACTTCTAGAACTTTTTATATAAATGCAGGGATCCTCCTGGGACCTACATGGTTTCTGATCTTCTTCAATGGTCTTCCTGATGTCATCAGTTCCCAACTAGGTATTTATATGCAGATGGCATTAACTTTTACTCCTGTTTCAATAGCAAGTTCAACAGATCTGACAAAGTAAATGTGGCAACTGCTCTTGAAAAGGACCTCCACTCAGTGGTTAAGTAATGGCTTGTAAATTTTAATGCCTTCAAAACAAAACTGTTTTCATTTAACCACCACAGAGAATCTTTTCTGCTTGCCATCAGCATGACTGATGCTAAACTTAAGGAGAGCAACACACTGTCTTCTTGACCTCACATTTTCCACTAGCATAAAGTGGAGAAACTATATTGAATCAACTGCTTCACCCACTGCAAGGGAAGTTGGTTCATTATGTCTTGCTAGAAAATTTTTCTTGTCAGAATCCATCTTGCACATTTATAAATCTGCTATTCGTCCGTGCATTGAATACTGTTGCCATATCTGTTCTGATGCTCCTGCTATACATCTCGAAATTTTCTTAACAAAATCCAAAAAAGGATCTGTAATGTAATCGATCATGATCAGGCATCTTGACTTTAGTCACTTTCTCACTGATTTGATATTGCTTCCCTCTGTCTTCAGATATTTTCATGGCAATTGCTCTGACAAGCTTTTATTCCTTGTGCCCCAACTACATGAATTTAAGTGTGCTACTAGATTGGCATCTAGGTCCCACCATGTTACTGTTGAAATAGCTAAATGCAATTGCTACTTCTACTCCAATAGTTTCTTTTCTCGCACTTCCCACATGTGAATATCCCTCCCATTTTCTAGCTTCCTTGATAACTACAATCTTCAAAAATTTAAATGCTACATTAACCACCATATTCTGTCTTCTTGAACCTTGTTCATTTTTTTTTTGTCCTTTCCTCAATCCTCCTTATTCTCATCATCTCATTCTTTCACTTTCCCTCCTTGTAATTCCCCTGCATACTAGTGGCATTACCACCTTGCCCGGAGTAAAATGATTAAAGAAAAAAAAAATAGCAAAGCTAGTTGCTTTGTATCTCTTTTCTGATTTTTTTAAAAGTATTGACATAATGTTTTCAGCAAATATTATTTAATTCCATGTCATAAATGCTAAGTGTCTGTATTAATGTGCTTTCTCTGTTTGATAGTGAGGCTGGTGGACGTACATTATTTCGGCTACTGTGTCGAGATGCAGGTGGTGAAACTGAACAGATGTTACTAAATGAAACCATTCCTGCTTGGGTAGTGGAAGTTGCAGTTAATGTAAGTGTAGGTTATCTATTTTTATCAGTGAATGTCATGCAAATGTGCACACTATCTATTCTTTTGGATCCTTAGTAACCATGAATAGAAATACAATTAAAATGATATGCAATAGAAAGGCATTGTATATACATATTGTCAGGAAATCATGTTTAATGGTTACTTTATTTATATATTAGACTATTCATGTGAAAGTTTATTTGATGCTATTCATAAGAACATAGTCTATACAGAAGTCTTAATTCATTTTTAAATAAAAATTATGTTTAATAACACAATTTTCAAATATTATTGTCCAATCATCATTCAAACTGTGATATATGTATTATACTTCATTATATATAATTATCAATTTTAATTTTTAAAAATTTAAAAATATTAATACAGTAAATTCAATATGCAATGAATTATTCTTGGGTATAGATGCCATTATTGCCAGAAAAACTATTCAGATGTTTATTGGTCTGTATAGCTTGTTTATAACTTAAAAAATTGAATAAAAAGGCGGGAAAACTAAAACCTAGATCTGTGTGTTTTTGAAGGCATTTTCTTTTTACTTGTGAAAGTGAAATGGATGGAATTTTTGACAAGTTAAATTTCAATGATTATAATTTATATCCAGTTTTCATGATTAGTCTACAAACCAGAATTTTCAATTTTTAGTTTTCATAAACCTTACAAACTCAAGTTCAGCAGTTACCCAGCTTATAACTTGTTCTGGAACCTGTATCATTATTTGAAATTTTTGTAAAATGTTTATCATCATAAATTAAAATAATTTTCAGTGATACAATTCAATACTTCTCTTAATTTTGGAAAGATGCATTTCTGTACCTCAAATCATGCTTCCTGTTCTTATAGATATAACAAATGTTTTTTTTTTTCTTCTTTACAGAGAGTGTCTCCAAAATTCAACAAAATTCCATTCTTTCTTCAACCACATGCAAGCATGGGGATTAAACTACCCAAAAAGTAAGTCATAGTTTTCATGTTTGTTAAAGTGTACAGGAAACAAATTATGTTTCAAGAAATTACTTAAAGATTTTTTTTTATATTTTCTTAATTTTTCATTTGGTGATAATTAAAAATTTAATCCTTACAGAGATCGCTTGTCTGCAAGTGATATGATTCAAGTGCGCAAAGTGATAGAGCATGTCTATGAGAAAGTATTAGGCCAGGGATCAGATGCTGGATCACAAACGGCCAATAGTAATCATGAGAAGAGTGATGGTGAGAAGGATTCTGAAGATGTTACTTCCATAGCGGAAGAAAAAGTAGAAATTCTCTGCAATGACCAAGTAAGTAACACTATAATATTGTTGGCACTATATTTTATGGATTTTATTTCAAATTTCATCTTATTTTTCATTTTTTGTACATTGATCATACTGTTTTAGAATCCGCTGCATCTGAAAAGTCTAGATATGTTAAGAAATTTCATGTTTACTCGTTTAGTTCATGAGAACAGAATTTCTTAAAATTGACCAAAAGCTTTTATAAAACTGAGATATTACAATCTCCATGGAATCCTATCATTCATATCTATTGAAAGAATCATTTTTTTATTTACTAATTTTAAGAAACACTTTCAATAAATATTTTGATGAAATTCTTCAACTGCTTTAAACCAAGGATTTGTGAAAATAATTCATTTATCATCATTCTTACTTTTTGCATATTTATTACCATTTCTTAGTTTATTTTGGAGACCATCACCTAATTAAAACTTTTTAAATTTATTTTTCATTTTAAAAAGATTGAAAAAAATATCCTTTTTGTATATTGACAAAATTGTTATTGAGTTGAATTGCAGAAAGTAAATTAAAAAAATATTTTGTAATAAATTTAAACACTTAAATTGTGGTTGCTTGACAGAAATTAGTATCTTAAAACTTATACATTAGTATTTTTGTTCATTTTTAAATATCTTTTTATTTGAAAATTATCCTTATTTTAACATTTCAAACAATTTCCTTTACATTGCAATTTGTTTCTTTTTGTTTTATTTAAATAGAAAAGTGTACAGCAGATGTACATTCAAAAATTATGCGTTTGTTTATTTAGAATTATTTTTTATTTAATTGACACATCTGTAGTTTTAACTTTGTAATGTTGTAACTTTTAAATTAATTTGCAAATGACTAAAAGTAAAAATTCAACACATAGTAGATAATGAGATTATACAAATGCTCCTCTACTTAAAGTGGAGTTGCAATCAGATGGACCCTATTATAAAGCAGAAAAAAAATCATAAGACAAAAATGACCCAAATGTTTAGTTTCTCTTCCAAGGTAATAGTTTTCCTCTTTTCAACACAGGTGATGAACTTGGGTGATTAGCAGATATAATAATGAGCTGCTGATATTATATATATATATATATATATATATATATATATATATATATATATATATATAAAAAAGCAACAAATGACTAGGTGTTAAAATTCATGATTGCTAGTGAGTGTGGAGGCTGGGTGGATGTTGCTACCTAATCTTAACATTGGTAGAAATATTGTACAAGATTGCTAGTATGTGAAAAATTAGAATTTAAGTTTGATAACAACTGAAAGCTCATCACAATCATAGCATTGTGAATTTAGAAAATTGTACATCAGGCCATCATATCGCAAGGAGCATTTGTATACATGATTAAAAAGAAAATTTAATTGTTTTAACCTACACTATAACATTCACAAAAAAAACTCTACTCTTCTGGTTTTACATTTTATGGTTTTATTTCTTTGTCTATTTATTAAAATGATGCAATAAAATTTTGAATATTGTTTCTAAATATAACTTGCTTATAATTTTTTTTCCCTAATTGCGAATTGTAGGTACTTGATCCCAACATGGACCTAAGGACAGTGAAACATTTTATCTGGAAGCAAGGTGGTGACCTCATACTGCAGTACCGACGCATCAAATGATGTTTGATTGCAATATTACGCTGGGTGCTTGGACCTACCATGTTAGGTTGCACCCACAGATAGCAAAACCTTTGCAACTATGACTATGTTGCAACATGGTCATAGTCAGCAGATTGCATTGTTCCATCCCTTTGAAACAGACCCACCACCTACCCTCCCCAGCTACTAGATGATTGGGAGAATTAATGGCAGACTCCTAGGAAAAAGTCTGGAGGAAAAGGAGGAGATATAAGTGGGCAGTATAAAACATAGATACTGTCCTAAAGGGGGTGGGGGAAGCAGGGATCAAATGGACCTTCCACAGGTGCCAGTACTCATGGCTGGACAATCACTTTCCTTTTTCTTTTTTTTTTTTTTTTTTTTTTTTTTTTAAGGTAAAGTTAAATGAGTTTAAAAAAAAAAGAAAAAAAAAAAGGAAAAACAAAATTTAATGACCTTACTGCCAGTGAGTAACTATTAATGCAGGATGCTTCCAAAACAGTCTGGACTCAACTACTCAGAAAACTCAATGTTTTTAACTTTGGCTTTCTGAATGGAATTGATTGAAATATACACAGTGAAATATTAAAATATTAACATTAAGAAGAAGTGAATTCAAATTTCCTTACCATTCCATCTTTTGTGTTTGTTTTGATTCTTCACACACAATCTTATTTCGAACTTGCTCTAATGCTTACAGTTTCTTTTTCTTTTCCTTTTATATTTTAATAGTTAATGAACGAAATATTTTTCTTTAAACCTCTGTGTGTGTGTGTGTGTGTGTGTGTGTGTGTGTGTAAATGCTACTTAAACTGCTAGTTCTGTAATCATTGTTAGATTTGTTACTTTTTAAAATTTGTCCATATTTATTCATGCAATAATCTTCAGGTTAATTTCTTACATACTGTTTAGGTTCTAAAATTGTTATTAGACAAGCATCTGAGCATGATCAGTTTGTTAAAAGAGATTATCTAAAATTCTGTTGATCATTAAAGAAGAATATTCAGACTCTTAGCTCAATATTTTATAACTGTTGATCTTTTTGTTGAGGACTCCACATTACAAGTGAAATAAACATTAGCTATATTAAAATGCCTCAAAATTTTTAATTGTTGAACCAATTTTTCATGACTAATAAAACATAAATTGGTTTAAATAAAAATAATTATCAGTTTTTAATAATTAGATTTTTTGCTATTTGATTGATATTGAAGGAGCTTTTAGAAAAGTATATTTCCATGATGCTAAATAGTGACATATTTTTATCTTTTTCACAAAACTGTAATTCTATCTCTTTATTTTAATTCTCCTTATTTTTGGTTTTTGTGCATAATGTTTAAGTTTAGTCACTGTGTCATTACTTTATCTGAGTTTTAAAAAATTACAAATTGCTCATGAAACCTAAAGATTTCATTTTTAAAAATACTAGGGGCTTTTTATCACAAATACCAACTATACAATTGATAAGCACTTCTTAGATGAATGTTTTAAGCCCTTTACAAAATAATGGAATGTTTGTTTCTTTCCTTTCTTCTTTTTTTTTTTTTTTTTTTTTTTTCATGACAAATTTTGGAGTCCATATTGAGTTGGCAGTGAACCGCATAAGATGAATTTGTCTGTGATAGAATTATTGGCACCAACAATTTAAATGTTTGGGTCCAAACATGGAGTATGCTTTTGTTACTAATAGCAACTCAAAGAAAAAAAAATGAAAAAAAAAATACTAAAACACCCCCAGGAGCTGTTAACTGATGTAGCTTTTCCCACTTGTCTTATTTTATCCTATTTTTTATATTTTCAAATAGCAAAGATGCCTATCAGTTCAATTGTTATTTTGAATTTGATTAAAGAATAATATAATTAAAAAAATATTGTACATAAGTTGAGTTATCTCTTGCATATACATTGCTTCTTTAGCTAAATGTATGGGTCAGATATCTCTTTTGAGTAATCCTCTCTTTTGTTGTCTTGGCTCCAGTACCTTTACTCTGGCTGCTCCCACCTGGTATAGTGTGTGGGAAGATATTTGAGTTGCTTTATGGCAATATTTCACTAGCTGATAGCCAGTAATGATGAATTCTAGAAATAAAATTGTTGCTGGGTCAACCCAGACAATGGAAACTTTTTCAGTTGCTAAACCTGGAGTCTGTATGCATGTAAATGTATGTATGAGTGTGTGAAAGTTGGTGTGTGTAATTTTGCAATAAATAGTACAGTTTCTAAAGTACAGCTTATGAACTGTACTTCACAATGTATATTTTCTATATCATTTGAAGAGGCTTTTTTTTTTTTTTAACTTTTCATCCATATATTGCAGAAATTAATAAAACAAATCGAGAAAGAAAAATAAATTGTAAATTAAAATTGTTTCTGACTGAACTCAATTCATAAATGTCTGCTGGATGAATTTTCTTTCTCTTAGTTAAACATTGGTCTGTATGCGTGTGCGTATGTGTGTGCAGCTGTCTTTGGACATAAAATATTCTGTACTGTCTATACCTTTGGTCAGTTACTTCTGGAACCCAAAAAATAAATCCATGGGCTTTGTAATTTAAAAATTCATGGATATCCACTTCCAGGAATTGTTACCAAAAGAAAATAATGGATGCTTTTTACTTTCTTCATTTTGTTCATAGCTGCCTTAATTCATCTCTGTAGCCTGTGACCACAGAGAAATGCATTTAATCAATGGCACACTCACTCACTACATTTTCTCTTTTTCTCATACACACAGATATTCTGCCTTAGCTCTGCTACTTTTAATGTTATTTTCTTTTACTATTCAGATTCCAAGTATTATTTTATGATAGAAACCATCCTTTTATATAAGATTAAGATGTCTGCTTTAATGAAATGTATTGAAATTATAATTAGATTCCTACAGTGAATATTCAGGAGTTTTCTGTTAAAAATTTCTTTCAATCTAGAAATTAATAAAATATTTTATTATAATTATTTTTTTTTCTAATCTAATGCCTACTCATTACTCAGCCTCTTGCAATTACATATAAAGAAATGCCATATTTAACTTATGCCTGTTGTACACTAACTTTAGCTGTTTCAATAAAAATTTCATGGAAGGCCAGAAATAATTCAGAAATTCCTTTCCTTCCGTCCAAAATTTGCAATTTGTAGCTATTAAAATATAAAAAACTTTTTTTTTTAAGTAAAATTTACAGATAATTTTCCATCTTGTATAGATTTTCTTTTAAATCTGACAAGAGGCTTAGACTAACTGAATTGATACCTGATGCTGAGTTTTGTATGCAAAAATATTCTTCAAATATAATTGTTTATACTATTAACTTAGAAATAGCAATTGTTTTAATTTATACGGATTTTTGGGACCTAATTTTATTAGTCAGCATCTTCATGTAGAATGTATGCAGTTTAATCATTTCTGGCCAGACACAGTTTAGTATAGTGTAACAGGAATTTCACATTTTTCAAGATATTGAATAAAAATGATCAACAACAATCAGGTGAATGATTGTAGCATGTCTCTGATACATTGAGAGTGGCTTTTGTTAGGTAGTTTGTCTATATTCTGCTTATTTCAAAATTTAAAAAAATTATTGAAGATAAAATGAATAATCTATCTCATTTTGACAGTGTTTCTTCATACTTATGTCCCATATAAATAAAATAAAAAATTAGACCTAGAAGCCAGTTTGTTTCTCAAAAGTAGAATACAAAATGTTCCAAATCTTTTTTCAATTACCTTTTTAAAAGAGCTGTGGACGGTCTGTGTTTTTACAAACATTTTCAGAATGCATTTAAAGAATTCTCTTTTTTTTGCTCTATTCAACACAGCTCCATATTTTATTTTTTAAAAATGACATAACTATTTTATTTATTATTTGAAAATTTATAAAAATTAAAGCTCCTGATCAGAAACTGAATATTATGAGACACTTCCATATACAGCTGCCCACTACCTCCAGTCAATGTCTACATTATCAAAAAGCAACAAAGAATACCTTTTGAGTGTTTATATATATATATATATATATATATATATATATATATATATATATATATAAATGAAAGTAAAAAAGTAATTTTGTTTCAAAATTGATTCTCACTCTGTTAATTTTTTTTAAGTCTCAGCATCAACAGCACATCTATATATTTTGGCTAACACATTTCTCTTATAGTCACACCAAACAATCCTCTAAAAATTTCATTTATTCGGTGTAAATGTCTTGAACTCAGGCCCATGTCTGACAGGAGACGTCCGGCAAAAGGCTAACATAGGCAGATTGAGAAGCTTAAATTATCGGGTGTACATTCTTTTCAAGACTTTGAATGTTTTGATTTGGAAATCAAGAAAATGATGACCATTTCCTGGTTGATGTTTCTGCTGTCATAAATGACATTTTTGTACATATGTGTGCACATGCATGCATGCACATTTCTACATATGTAAAGATTGTGTTGTGCATGTATATCTCCCTGTTGTTACTATCATAAGATTGAGTAAGATGACTGATTTATAATTTCGTCAGCATTCAACTCTATTTTCTAAGTAGAATTAAAGTGACAACTGCAATTGAAAGTTGGATGGGGGTAAAGGGCCAATCTAGAATAAGTTGCAATCACTTCTGATGAAGACTGTTATGTTTATATTTCTGAATCTTTGTAAATAAAACTTTAATAATAAAAAAAAAAAATATGGAAAAAAAAATAATCAAGATTTGGCAACACTACATTGTATCAACGCTGGTCAGAGTTGACTGACTAATAAAAAAAATTGTAAGTAATTTAGTATTGTTTTTGTTTGCTTTGTTTATGCCTCTTGCAACAGTGGATCATTTCATACCTGTTTTTTGTGTTCTATTTCTATGCATTCATTAGTTATATTCTCATGACTAATGAATGCTCCAATGAAAATATGATAAACATTAATAATTGGCTGGATGATTATTTATAAAATTACAGTTAAGTAAAATTCCTATTGAACTTAATCTTTTTTTTTTTATATTTCTTCATAGATGCTGTATTTTAAATGTATTTATTAT